AGGTCCAGGATGTGACTAAAGTATGCTTTAACTTTTGGTTAGCTCTGAAATGTTCAGGCAGTTGGACTAGATGATCGTTGTAGGTCCCTTCCAACTGAAATAGTCTATCTTATCCTATCCTATCCTATTCTAAATCTCTGTTACCCTAGCCATATACTCCTAAAGTTGCATAAGGAGGAGGTGTATTGGTCTGTTCTATTTGTTCTATTTGTTCTAACATTTGCATTTTATAAACCCAAAAGTACTAAAAGATAATTATAATTTAGAAAGTTAAACATATGGTTTGGTCTGCTCCCCCTGACATCTTGCTTCCTGTTGTACTGTTTGGAAAGTCTTAATGTTGCCCTTTCCATATTAATTCCAGAAGAAGGCATATAAAGTCATTTGTATGCACCTGTACCCTATAGGACAACTCTGATTGTCAAGTAGATACTAACATGAGTACAACTATCACAGCTTGACTCCTGGCTTATCAGCTGAATCATGATTTTGTGGCACCATGGTCTTTCCTTGAACAATGCCAATTTGTCAAAAACAAAATGTAGAAAAATATTTATTTGCTGAAGCATCCGATTTTTACTTTTCTTTGAAGTTGCTAACTTCTAAACAACTCTACTCCTCAATTTCAAATGATCTGAAGCCCACTATTTTTAAGTTATTTGGTCAAAATATATAGACAACATTCTGAAATTATAAAAATTATTTCACTGAACCACTTTTTATTACTCATCTGAGAATACTTTTTCTTTATTTTATCATTTTGAATTGTCCTAGATAAGCAATCTCTTTAGATTATTTTTAGAAACTCCTTTCTTCAATAATTAGAATATTAAAATCACCAAAGCTTTTACAGGTTAGAGAAACTGTATAGCTAGAAGTCAGTCACTGGAAGGTAGTTTAGGGAACCAGAAAGACATAGTGCTGCTGACAGTCTGTTTTTCTGACAGTTATGTGAAACTTTCATTAATGATTTTCATTGTTCTATCTATGTTATATCTATGCTATTAAAACATCTTTAATGTTTTAAAGATATAAGGAAAATTCCACTATACAAAGTGCCCACAGACATAGGGAAGATTTCTTCAGTGCAATGTATGATTATAAAAGATAACTACCAGCCTGTTCAGCTGATATTCAGATGTGAAATAAAGTCAAGTCCTTCTAAAACAGAGTTGATTTAGGGTCAAAGCAAACAACATTTCACTCTCATATGCATTATGTTTTGGTTGATTATTTTCTCCTTTATGCATCTCATAAATGAAAAGCAGATTTTTTTATTCTATTGCTTTCAGAGGACTACTGCTAGAATATTGCTTTTATATTATCTTTAATTGTTGTAGGGTTGTGTTGTTTTGTTCTTTTTTTTTAAATTTGCACTACTGAAATTATTAAACAATGCTACTATACTAAACGTACAAAAAATACGGGTTATACAGCGAAATGTCTAAATGAAATCCTGCTAAACAGAATGTATGTAAGAATTTAGTCCAACTTCATAATCAGTATGGAGGTGCTTCTTCAGGAGAGATGCCAAACCTCTTGGAGAAGAAAAAACACAATGGATGTGCCCAGTCAGCAGAAGTTAAAATTTGAGAAAAAACTATCATCTACTCTGTGGTACTTGAAAGTTTTGTGCAGGGCAGGAAAACAGGCAGATGGAGACCTTAATACTCAGAATGGGTGACCGTTCTCTCCTGTGAGCAAAGAGCCAGGTTTGCTATTAAAGGTTTTGCTTTCTTAGTCATGTCAGTAAGAAGTTACATTAGCAAGAAATTTGAATTTAAATGCACAACACCTTTAGCTAAGGCAGCTGTTTAGGCTAAAACCCAAGGAAAGAAACAGGGTTTTTTGCAGACGGAAGCTTTGGGAAACTGTTATAAATTATCTGGCCAAATACATGTATGTGTATATATGTCTACGTATATAAAATATATGTATTTTATATACATATATGTAAGTTGTCTCTTTGCCAGTAGTAAAATGTATCTTGAAGAAAGAAATTCTGGACATACCCATCTACAGCAGCCATGCAGCAAGACCCCGTGCCCGGGATCCACAAGGCAAGTACGTGTCCGCAGTGACTCTTTTGTGGGATTTCCAAAGTCCTCATTTCTAAGGCAAGCAAGGAGAGTTTCCAAATTGCCTTTCTCCTGTCATCTCCCCCCAGAGCTCTGTGGGCATGAGCCTCAAGATGGTTATTGAAAGCATTTCAGAGAATACTGGCATACAGCCTGCCTTCCCTCCCTCCCTCCCTCCCTCCCTCCCTCCCCATCTCTTCCCATCAGAAATGTCGCTGTCTCCATCTGCTGCCCCTGAACTCACTGTGCTGGCAGGAACACTCCAGCAGAATGAAGCAGCTGAAGTTATTCAGCATAATGTGCTACACTGACACTTCACAGGCAATTACTAGCATTTTCCACCAAGAAAAAAGTGTGCAAAAGGGATTAATGCTGCTGTGTTTCTCTTGTGATGCCTCTAACACAGATCAGGATGCATCTCCTGCATCACCAGGTCCAACTCCTTCTTGCTGCAGGCACCATGTAGTCTCTTTGTTCAGTAGGAGTACGCGTGCTTTTTACCAGCTCTGCTAACTGGTGGCTGAGGGATTGCTTATGCCTTCCAGTACATCCCTGGAAAGAAGATCTGTTCTCATAGCACCCGAATAATGTGTAGTTTTCTTTGTGTGTCTATCTCAAACGATGTTACAATTTCAGCCAGCACATGTATATGTTATTGCGGTCAGGAGGACTACTCTCGTTTGAAGTTATGCATGCTTTAGTGTTTTTATCAAATGAAACCATAATAATTAATACAGCTCCAAAAGTGTGCTTTCTTATTGGAAAACACATTTTACAGGAACTGCTTCTTCTGATAATTACATATTTGGCGACAGAGGGTGAGGGGGTGAAGAAAAGCTATTTTTCCATCTGCAGCAACTCCTGACAGCCACTTAAAAACAACAGTAATGAGGGAGAGAAAAAGAGATACTTGTGAAGGCTTTAGATATTGATTTCAGATGACTAAGCTGCGTGCGAGGCCTTCCTTGATTTATTTCAGTTTGCAGGTGAGGGGACTTTGCACAGCTCATGGGAGCTCCTGGCAAAATATAGGTATGTCAGGAGGTGTAGGTCTCCCTGAATATTTTAAGCAAGAAATACTTAGTGAACAGTTTACTTCACAGCATTCACACCATTCAAACTCTGGACAGAGCCAGGAGATGGAGAAGTAAAAAATGGATCAAAGTTTACTGACCCAATAAAGGGAAGGGAAACACTCAGATCAGTCTTTACTGAGTCCAAGTCATCGCCTCATCCCAAGTAGATTCCTTTTTGCTGTAGTGCCCTGAGTACGGACTTGGGAAAGTTTGGAAAGGAAAAAAGTTAAGCAATAACTGTTGTCAACTCTGGACAACGGCAGAAGAAAGGAAAACCTTGTAACAGCTCTGCCCTGGGAACGAGACACGCAGAAACATGTGCTTATGAAAAATAGAGCATGAGAATGTCCGTGATTTCCAGGAGCTGTTAGTCTCTCCTACCTGTGCTACTTGCTGCTTAATAAACAAAGTTTCTTCTAACACCCGGAATAATGCAGGGCAGCAAAAACCTCAGAACACTTCGTCCCTAAAAACTGACTTGAGGCTTCACCTGGTGGTTGCTGGGCACTGTGAAATGGGTACACTGGGACATCATACAGCAAGACTGTTCCCTAGAACAGTAATACTATCTGATATGAGCAAAATAGAAGAAAAGTAGATATTGGTTATCAGGTTCTCTGGCTGCTTTTTGACTGATATTTTAGATTAAGAGGAAACTGATTGCAACTCTAGTAACTCGGTTCAAATGTGAGCAGGACGTGGACTGCTCCTGGAATGGTCTATGGACTGAATGCGAGCACGGATGCTTTGGCATTATCCCTTGGAGGCAATCGTGGTTTCTTGCCTCTAGCCGTGACACAGTTCTACTTCTTATATTTTTATTGATTCTTGATGATTTTGCTTTAGATTGCCAAACTAGCTATACTGGAACCAAGTGGCACCAAAGAGCCACGAAACTTGAAAGGATGCCAGCTCTCTTCCTAGGGACCAAATATTCCACTCCATCGAAATCTTACCGCAGGTCTTGGGCATGGAGGCGCAGCAGAGAGGGAAGGTGGGTACTGAATGTCGGGCTGCCCAAGAGGCAGAAGTCACAGCAAAAGCTTTAATCGTGCTTTTGATAACTGAGGAATTGATCAACCTGTTGGGCAATGACCATCCTTCTGCTTCTGAAGGGGACAGCTGTGTAGCCTCTGCCCCTCGGACTCGGAGCGAGAGCTAAAAACACGCTGTGGGGTTGCGGTTACAGCTCTAGATGGCTAAATTCAGCCGTACTGTGTAACTGAAAACATGTTCCACTTCTGATGTTATTCACATCAGCTAGTACCACATAGCAAATTCTTACTCCTCTGGTTCAGCTCAGTGTAAATGGAGCAGAACATTAGGAAACATCTAAAAATAATCAGAAAACTGCAGGAAAATAAAAAATATTTCTCAAACTGATTGTACAAACAAGTTTTATTGCTAAAAACCAAAACAAACACACACAACAGGGTTCTCAGATTCAACTGCAGTTTTATTTTAAATTGAGTACTGGCCAACTTCTGATTCTTACACTTCAAAACTTCAAAACTTCTTGTATTAGTTCAGTGCAGTCTGAAGGACTTGGATTTTTCATAACTGAAGGCACAGCACCAAAATGCAGTCCTCAGCCTGATACCCAGTCTGGGTTATTCTGTGGATTAATCAGGGTGCCTGATTCCCAGAGATTTTGTGCACATTGGCTGAGTATCTGATCACAACGGTGCTATAAATGGATAAGACTATCCATCATGTAGCTTTCCAGACAGTACATGATGTATTCTACCTCAGGAAAACTAGTCTGCTTATTATTTCACAACTCGGATTCCAGTTGTTTGCAGAAGTGACCTCCGTGTTCTGGAATTATTTGAAATGATTGTCGCATTCAGAAAGCATCTTGTTTTACTGTCATGGTGAAATTCAAGCACATGAACATTTTTTTCTCAGAATCATCAGAGAATCCTTGTAAAATAATGTTATAATTGCCCTAAAATAAGCAAGGGGAAAAAAGAAAAAAAGGAAATTAGTGCATAATGCTGCCTACTCTTATATAAGTAGCTGCTTGGAATGGTTCTGGTGATTTCTGTTAGGACTGGAAAAGATTCCCATCAGGGACTGTTATCCTGGGTATATTCAGATACATGTGTACATGAAAAAATAGTGTTCAACTTTCTTCTCATGACTAGGGTACTAAGGAACAGCAGTAGGCTGCGGTCCAGCTTGCACTTCTCAGGGTCCTCTCTCAGAGCAGAGTCCTGTGCTCCCGAGGGCGCCTGCTCCCCCTTCCTGAGCCGATCTCTTCAGTAACATTTCCAACTCCACAAACAGGAATTAACTGAGTTGATACGCCAGGCTGCGTTCTGCAGCAATGGGCTTTTTTGTTCCTGCTGTGAGGCAGTAATCTGATTAGCCCTCACAGCTTACACCCCGCAAGCATTCAGTCCTACCAACACTTCCATTTCCTGATGACTTTCTGCCACCTTCTTGCCCCGATACCCATATGCAGACAATAGCTAAGTGCAAGAACAGCCTTGGTCTTTTACAGAGAAATCCTCCAGGCTACATACCACACACACTTCTGACCAGCCTTGTAGCACAGTTTGTTGTACCGGGCAGTCCATCTTTCTGTTTTCAGCTATAATCACATACGGAATATTTAACTGCTATTCAGCCTCAGTGATGTTTACCAAAATCATCAATTTACAGTGAATGTATCATGTGAATACATCAAACGCCTGCTTGATGAAAGCTAAAGCAACCTCACACTGTTATTGGTGGGAAAAAGTTTGTCCTGCGTTTGAACATGATGTCAAAATTAGGATGAAGTACGCTAGAGAGAGGAGCGTGGGAGGAAGGACCCATGTGAGAAGAGTGCTGTAGTCATTCCTCAGTCCCTGATCAAAGTACAGCGAGCACTTCTCCTCGTGTGAGATCTCAAGCTGCCTACTTAAATCACCATGTCAGGGCCCAGCTCTCCTCCCTGCATGGAGCATCTGCTCCCTGACTAGCAGGATACTGCTTGCCTGAACCTTAGCCATAAGCCCAGGTCTAAGTCAGCCACGCTTTCTGGCAGAGCACACTGCCATCAGCAATACTGGTCCTTGCGTCAGCTCAGCATTCCTTCCAGACCCACCGCTTTGCTCATCCACATCCAGCAGTCATGATCCATAAAGCAGCATCACCCCAGGTTTAGCTATCTACCCATCTCCACACCCTTGCACAGACAGAGTTTTGTAGGCATCAGGACAGAAGGTAGCTTGGTGGCTCTTACTGAACCCAGGTCTTACCCCACCTTCTTTGACAACTGTCACCTTCCTCTTCTGGTATGGCAAACTGAGGATGAGCACTTGGGACCTGAAGGGCTCTTAGGACTAAACTAAAGACTGGGAGGCTTGCAAGAGTTTCTAGTTTACAGCAAAGGCTATGATTAGGGTTAGTTCCTGATCTGGTGGAGTCCCATTGGGAAGTGTCAGATTGGCCATAAGCATCTCGTCTATAGGAGAACTGCTTATGGCAGAGGACATTCCTGTCTACTACCAGCTCTGGGGCTAGAAGAGATGCTGGGCTGTTGATGCTCAACACTGTTAGAAGTCCATAAGCTTTGAGTTAAGGGGATGCTGGAGATTTTGTACCAGTAGGAGCTCCTTAGTGACATTTGTGGGGATTAGCAGGGATGGTAAGGGTCTTGGGAAGGCTCAGGCAGCTGATGAGGCAGGTGTTGGATGTGAATGGGCTAACCTGAGGACTGGTGCTGCTCCTGGTTTAACGCTGGAGCACCGCTTTTACTTTTGGATATTGTTATCCCTCTTCAAATCTTTGAGAAGGGTTTCAGGGAGGAACAGACCAGCGAGTGAAGAGAACGTAAAATAAAGAACAAAATGGGCAGAAAGAATATGGATGGATTTACTCAAACAGGTAAAAGGAAACACAATAATTTACCAAAAAACCCAGAATTATTAAGGTGACATTAACTGATATCCTTGGACTTATCTTTTATAAAATAAAGGAGGAATAATAGAGGAATAATAACCTGAGGACATCTAGCATTTCAGAGGTGATACCATTCTGGAGTCATCACTTCAAGCATGAGAAAGTTTTCTGACATTTCCTTTTGCTGTTTTGTACAGTTTGGGTGAACATCTCTTTTCAGAAAATATATACATGTAAGTATGTGATTTTACTATTGTTATTTATTTATATAAAATGCTGAAAAGTACCTTTGGAAACGGTATTCTTGAACCTTTAATGTCAAATGCTGTTGCAATTGTTTCTGTAAAACAGAGATAATTATAATATAAATGGTTACTTAATCATAAAGCCATCAATCAAACTTCCTAAATAACTTCAAAGCAATATGGCATATCTCTCAGCAGCAGTGCCAATGTCATTTACCATTCCATTGATAAAGCTCTCACCTGTTTCTTCTCCCAGAGCTCTGCCTCTTTGTCTAAACGGTGTTAGAAAATAGAAATTAAGTACAATGCTCCTGCAACATCTCCTACAGACCCATCCTACTGTGGTAACTGCAATAATTTAACTTAATAGTAGTTCAACTGAATGATAACCGAAGAAAGCCGATAGTCGTTTTTAAAAAAAAGAAAACATGGATTGCGTCTTTTGACCTCCTTACAGGTCTTTTTGACCTTTAGTCTGGCATCCTGCCTGAATTCCCGGGATCTGAGCCTATGGCACGTTAACGTTGGTTAGCCCCTACAACAGGATTGACTCTTCTCTAGTAAGAAAAGCATTATACATGGGAGTGGAGAATCTCTTTAAAAACCCATCCAGACACTTATCTAAATAAACTGTGTTCTGGATATTAGTGGTGTCCCTAGCTCCTCTGAAGTTTTCTGCACAGTCCAGTCAAATGTAGTCTTTCAATGTCATTTTAGAGACGTTAACAATGAAAGTGTCATAATGAGATGAAGGATATTAGTAATCCTAATTTATAGAGATTGAAACTGCAGTACAAGAATGTTAAAGCACAGAATTTGGAAATTCTCTATTTTAGTGGAGTTCTGGAACTGGAGAACTGCCTGCGCTGGTCTGCTGCCTGCCAAGCACGGCGAAACAGTCTAGATTGCAGAGAGAAAAATCTGTCTGCATGGGTTGATCAATTAGTCTTTTAAGAAATCTACTTAGTGATGAAAAAGGGCTGGCAGGGTATGGCCCTGTTGTGGAAGGAACCTGCCAGGCAAGGGAAAGGAACCATATATTTTCCACACAGACCTCCTTTCAGTGCTCCGCACACTAAGTATTTGTCATCAGCTCCGCTGCAAAGGACTTCTTTCCAGAGTAACGCTTTGTCACCGTTGTACCAGACTTTGAAGACGATCTTCAAAAAGGTGATGTCACTTCCTAGCTAAGACATTGCAAGTAAGAAAATGGTAGCTGGCGCAGAGGAAAACCATATATGCAGACACGCTATTTAGCTAAAAACTAGTTTTCTCTGAAACAATACAGTATTTTTTAAAGACTCACCCCAAAACTAACAAAAATACAGTCCGTAAAAACTGTTACTTCCAGAAAAACAAAAAAGCCTGTTTTCAACAAAAAACATCAATCTTAAAAAATATTTGAGTGAACAATTTCAAAATCTGTTTTAATTTCTTCAGCAAAGAAACAGAGTCCACTCAGCCCCACAGCTAACCCAAATAAATATTCAGATGGGGATTCTGTAGGTGTTGCAACCAAACTGGCCTGAATGCCAGTAACCATCATAAAGGTATCTTTCTAGGGAAGCAAATTTAGTCCAGCTCCAGAGTTTTTACTCAGAAGATGAAGATTATGATACAGCCATTTCATAAGTAACTCAGATTACCATCTTAGAGCTGGGTTTAAAGATTAAAGTTGGGTTTGCAGACACAATCCAGTACCACTTCCAGCTTCTGGAACATGCACATTCTTAGTAGGAGTCCTGCAATACTGGGATAGCCTAATGATATTCTCTCTCCTGAAAAAGACTTGGACCTTCTTCTGGCCAGAACAGCTTGTGTGCTGCAAATTTTGTCTGCTTCTTCCAGACACATGCACGTGCACCTGAACTGTCTCAGATTTGCACGTACAGTCCCACTTAGCACGCAGAGCTCTGTTAAGTGCTCCAACAAGTAAAACTCACACACATTTATTTCCACAAATCATCATTTCTGCCCACCGCTATAACTTGCCTATTCCATTTTTAATCACAGAAACTGGTCTCCTAAATCATTTGGCATGTAGGATGAAGCGTCAGCTTTTTGCTTGTAATTGTTTTTTTGCATTGGCAGAATATAATTGTCTAGTCCAGAGGGACTCACTTGGAATCCAGGAAAGAACAGCCTTCCAGGTGGATCTGTTCATGATGTTGCAAGGTGTGACATTAAACATGAAATCATGAGGTGTAGAATCTACAGGAAAAAAGTATTTCGTATTGGCAGTGTGAATAGGCTTCTCCAGGAAAATAATAAAAATATACATTTATACACACGATAAACTCATATACATTTTAAAATTTGTTTAATATAAGGTATATACTATAAATTGTCTAATATAAATATCCATAGCAAATAATAAACATTAAATCTGTTAAACATTAAATCACAAAAATTATGTTTTAAATTATTTATATGTTTAGAGGGCAAAAATAATATCATGTTTCTTTAAGTAGCAAGAAAAGTAAATTATTTGGTGGATGATATTTTGCACGCAAAACTCAGAGGCAAAAGTACCTTTATTTCTCTTCTGAAGTCACGCAACTTTTTATTAGCATTAAGCCAGCATGGCCTTCTGCTGAAAATATCCCTACTTATGATAACCATGGACTCTGTATTAACTTGCTGACAACAGCTAAAAACATTTTCAATGCACCAGCATATTTTCCAGGATAATGCAAATGAGCCTTTGAGTAGATTCGCTTTGTGAGTGACCCACCCAGCATTGCACAACGCGCAGCGTCAGACGCGGCATGATAAGGCATCACACAGCCTCTATCTAAGCAAAGTTCAAGCCCATGAGCTGATATTTTAATTTAAAAAAAAAACATTCAGTGGCAGTCTTTGGAAGGCTCTCCAGTCAGTATTTCTATTTTTATTTTAATTTTAGGAAAGCAGCCTGTTCAATTCAGCTTGCTTCCGCCCTGCCTCGCGTGCGGCAGCTGCGGAGGCTGCTCCCCGCGCTAAGCCAGCCGAGCGCCGGCGGCAGCAAACGGGGCGGCGGGGTGATTTACGGAGAGGGGTTCCGCCGTCTGCCTTGGGCGTTAAAGTAAGGGGTGTGCAAAGGGAACCTGTCTGGCTGTTGGTGACCAGCAGTCGGCTTCTCATCCCGGGTACGACCGAGCACACAGAACTCACCGTGGCCCCAGAGGTTTGGTTTGGAAGCTTCAGTACCGCCACTCTGACCCTTGCCGAATTTCTAACGTGAGTGTTAATGTAAAGCAACGTACCCAAAATAAACGTCCCCTCTTGTGCCTCAGTCTATACGTCCGTTTTACAGGTGATATACGCTGGCAACGCGGGCAGATTTCAAAAGACTTGGGCCTTTCCTTGCGAAATGTCTCCTCAAAAGGCCACCTCCTGGCCACTGAGTCCGCGTGGGCACACCGAACCTGCTCCACACGGACATCAGGGAGGTGCCAGGTTCTTGCAGAATCGACCAAAAAACCCAGTGAACTACACAGATCCAGTGGCCTAAAACACAGATACGGCAAGAAGAGACACGCTATGTTGTCCGAGAGCCTGACTGATCCTCCTGCCTGGCAGAATATCACGTTCCCCCTTTTTTGCCATATACTTCAAGCTTTTCACTGTAATATATTGGTTAAATCAATGTGAATAATTTATACAATGAGGTACTCGCAAAACAAGTTTAAATCCCTTATCTTCTAATATTTCCTGAAACAAAACATGCCTGCTTTTACTTGAGAGTAAACTCTCTTAGCTGCTGCAGCCAGCATTCTGGTAATATTTACGTTTATGCCGTATCCCTTTTCTAATAGGGTAATTATTAACAGAAATTAAAATCCAGCTAAACTTCTTTTTACTTTTCTGTATTCATCAAAGAAACAAATTTGAAAGAAAGTTTGCATTTCCTCAGACTACAGTAATTATTGTGCAAATGCCAGTAAGAAAAGAATAAGCTATTTTTTACTTACCACAAAAAGTATATGACAGTTCTAGATCTGATGACGTACAAAGAAATTCACTGACTCCAGGGGTGAATAAAAGAAAAAAAAAAAAGCCCAAACATAGTTTTTGCTCAGTATTCAGTGGAATAAAACTTGTTTTGGGGAAAGAGGAACAAAAATTCAGCACAGTCATCCTCAGTCACATGTCTTCACGGAATATTTGGTTATTTTGTCAAATTCTCTGCAATCTTAATTAATCCTATCAGCACTATCAGTTATCATCACAATAAATTTTGTGAAGAAAAAGAATTTCTGCCTTTGTTGTTACATTTTCCCCAGACAACGCAGCTCAAGCCACGAGTGAAAAATGAAAGAGAAAACTGTGTGAAACGGGGAAGTGAGAAGTAAAATTATGATTACCAGAAGCACATAAAGGACAAGTTTAGTTGACTCATCAGACGTAACATTTGTTGTTGGCATAATTTCAAACACAGAATTTCCTGTACGTACTAAAGAAGAGAAAAATCCACAAATGATGAAAACCAAGTCAACTCTTCTATTGATATGGTACTCAATAACTCTCACAAGTTTTCAGAATTAATTTCTTAGAAAGCTCACCATGCTTTAAGAACAGGTTGGCACTCCAGAGGACTGTAACTAGATGATGTATCTCCAAGCGGAGGTAAGTATGGGAGCTGAATGCAACCGTCTGATGTGTTGTTGAGTAGAACCACCAATGTCAGCTAGCATCTTCAAAGCTCTGCCCATCACAGTTATACTTCTTAGTGAAAGCAATCTTAAAAATCCATAAAATTACAACCGGTAAGTCCCACGTCCACCTCCCAGCCTCCCTCTGTGGCTTTCTCCCACGCTCTTCACTTCAGCCTCTGCTGGAGAAGCTGCGCCGCACAATTTCCCCGAGAGCACGGAGCCCAATCCCTGACCGTCGTGCCGGTGCAGTGCTCAGGCATGGGTCCAGGAGGACCCCAAACGTGAGACAACTAATAACAAAAGCTGTCAAATTTTCACTGAGATGTTTCTATAAGAACACGGAATCTAGCTGTCACAACCGAAGATAGGTTAGGAGCCCAGTTTTAAACTGGGATCTTGAAAACAGTCCAGGTTACAGATTTTGGTACTCCAGTTTGAAACACTAAAACAAAAACTCTTAAAGCACTTTTGGTATTAGATACACCCCCTTGTTTCTGTCTGTTAGTGCAATACATGAAGAATAACATATTTTGCCTGTATCTGCCGCATAAATTCTGTGGACTAAACTGGATCAGCTTTTACTGCACAAACCTAGCAATATTGCTAGTCCCAACTACAGAAACAGATCAAAAAAGTCTAATACCTCATTCAAGACAGCACAATCACCATCTAACTGACAGGAAACACAATTACATTTTTTTTTCTGAATATAATAAGGTATGTAAACCTACTGAATTTATGGAAGAATGACTTAACTTATTTTCTCATGAGTTACCTTCTTGATTTGTATGTCTGTCTGCAGGCTCCTCTTAGACCAGAAATAGTATTTTTTACAAAAAAGAAGCAGTATATACAATAGACAGGTGTTTGGTTTTGTGCTAAGCAGGTAACTCAATAAAAATTGCTTACAACAAACATAACAATCAGTTGTTCTGACTCTCCCCACTCCCCATCACAGTGCCTAAAAGCTTTTATTCTCACAAATTCTGTGCACAGCACAGGAATATTTTACATATTATAAAGATAAAACAGTAAAAGATTAAGAAATTGGTTTTCAGAAATCCAAACGTGTAACACAAAAGATAATTTAGGAATAGTGACATGCGCAAAAACATGGCTGATTGTGCCTAGAAAGGTGGGAGGAGTTCACAGACTAGTTAAGGAAGGTGAGAATTCAATTAAAAGTACCTAAAAGTACCAACTAATGAGCTAATACCTGTAATAATTCACAAAATAAAATAAAAAATTACAATTTAATATGGCTAGAGAATTCTCTTTGGTATTTCCAAATCTTTCTACAGACCACAAGAGTCCCACTGGCCTGACAGAGTTCAAGACTGAAAGAAACCTCTAATATTTGGCTTTTAAGTGGGAATTCAAAATTACACAACTTTCCTGACAGATCTCTAGAGTACATACATTGCACACAGATTTTTACTGCTGTTTAATAGGATGCTATAAAAAACATATAAACCCTTTGTGATCATAGCAATAATACAGCTCTGTTTCAAAATGGCCGAAGTTGCTTAAAAATAGTAAAATGTGTAATGAAATTGAAATAAATCGGGAAGGCTGTAATAGTTGGAAAAAGGAACGGAGTGATGAGACAACCACTAAGGAGTGATGAAGCAGCCACTGAAGAAGAGCTACTTTGTGCATGTACAGTCAAAAAGAGGTTCCTTTCCAGTATAAGGCCATGGCCACTGATGTGGAGAGTCTAATCAGAGAGAAGCCAAGCCAGGCTCTCCACTGAGTCTTCTGTCAGTCCAATAGGTTTAGCAAAAGTCACAGGTCAGTTTGAAGTAGACGTGAGATGGCACTGACTGTACCCTATTGACATATACGATTACCCATCTGAGAGCGTGTCTGTTCCTCTGTGGCCAGACTTTGCCGCACAGTGCGTTGGGTGGCTGATGGCAGACTGGAAAGAGCGCTGCAGATTTATGAGATTTTATATAAAAGCTCTTTTAACGTAAATGAA